CACACACCACTCAACCCTCATGAGAACTTAGCCAAAGTCCAGGTGCAAAGAGACGTATATGCAAATGCTGATAGATTCGTCCGTAATCTGTAGATATTAGGCAATAGTTTAATCCTATAAAATATTGGGAATAAGAAAATGAATAGGATTTCAAACTGGGTGATTGACTCCTTTTGCTGGCCAGGGAGGTTGGTTTTTTAGACGGTGCCAAAGTTTCTCCACCATCCTTTAAGATCTTATTGGTCGCGGTACCCTATCCTCTTCCTCAAACTATAACAGAGCAAGCTTGCGTTTGCCCAAATATTTATAAAGTCCTCTCTTCATTCTTTTTCCTTCCTTAGTTTTGATGGGCCTACAACTTGAATGATGTTTTTTTATTTCAAATGTTGAACTATATGTGCAACTAACTGTGAATTTGGTTTGCTGTTTTCAAGACGTTTTCAGTTTTGTAAAACACTGGAAACATGTTTGGTTTGGTATTTTTGAAAATGCATTTTTGAAAATAAGGATAAACGTATAACATAAAATTGAAAATGCATTTTTGGCGTTTTGAGTGTTTTTATTGAAGATTCTGAAAACATTCAACACATGGAAGACAAGCATTTAAATTAAATTTTTAAAATTAAAACTTTTTAAAAATATAAAATTCTAACAAATTTTTTATTTGTTAAAATTTTGAAAGAATAAAAAAAAATCTAAAAAATATAAATAAAAATTCTGAAAATATAAAATTATAGAAGTTTCTAGAAAAATAAAAAATATAAATAGTTCAAGTTCTTAATAATTATTAAAAATGCTAAAAAAATATTTAAACAAATATGGATAAAAATATTCTCAGTTCATGTCATTAGTTTATATTTTTATTTTCTATATTGTGAACTAAACTTAATATTTCTTTTTATTTTACTTTTGTATTGGGAAAAAATATTATAAGATTCACCAACTTTAAAAAATATATATATATTGCTTGATAATATATTAACTAATATTGTTCTATTTTTATTGAATAATCAAATTTTATGGAATAAAATGTTATAAAACAATTTTTAAGCCAAAAGTGTTTTCTAGTTTTTTATTTTGAGAAATAATTTTTCAAAATAACAAAGCAAACTCATTTTTAGCAATCTTAAAACAGTCTCTCAAAACAGAAAATTTAAGTGAATTCGAAATTGAAAACTAAAACACAAAACAAATGGGCCCTATGTTTTTCATCATGTATGGTAAGTCTACTCTTCTTCAGTCTTCATAAAGCTTACTGCCTGTTAATTGATATCTATGCAGCGTCAATAGATGAAATGATGAAGAATAAAATGGAAGTGGATGCTGTTGATATCATTTATACCTTTGGGTTAGAGGAGAAGTTTAATCCTCAAGCAATGTTGATATCATTTCTACGTGAATTGAAAGAATCTTCGAAAAAGGCAAAACAACTGGCACAGGGTTCATCTATGGCGCTGGTAATAGATATTTGCCTTTTCAGTTAGACTTGAACTCATGTTTTATATCTTTTCTTTTATTCTCTTGTGGTTTATCGTTCTTTTCCTTGATGTCATGCAGAATGAAGCCAATAAGAAGCAGTTAGCTGCTTTAAAATCTGTTGTCAAATGTTTAGAAAAGCACAAGATTGATCCTGCAAAACTTCTTTCTGGATGGCAAATCAATTCAAAGATTCTGACTCTAGAAAAAGATATTGCCGCATCTGATAATAAAACAGGAGAGAAAAATGCCCAAAAGAGAAGAACAGAAGAAACCGATGCATTAAAAAGGTCTAGGACTCAAGAAGCAAAACGTCCGCGTTTAACCAGTCATGGTTCACACCAGCAAGTAACTGCTGGTCATTTCGATAGCAGAAGAAACCTTTTGGATAATGGAGTTCCTGCTCATGCTGTTAATTATTCTGTTTCCACACCTGTAGTGTATGGTGGACCTGGCGCTGGCATGCTCCCCCCATCTGGAGTTGGAATGAGTATATCAGCTAGTCATAGTGGCCATCTTCCAACTGGTTCACATGCATGGAGTGGTGATGCAGCCTTGAGTGCAAGGTATGCTGGACAATCGTCGTTACTCGGGCTTACTAGCTTGTACAGACCGACACTGTCCTTGGAAGGTTTCCCGGGGATGCCAAATGTCTCGTCAGTTAGTGCTGCAAGTCGAGGATCTGGCTCTGATCTTTATCAGTTTGCTGATTCTGTCGTAGAAAGTGAATCATATCAGAGCAGTATTCCTCCTCACAGCGTTCCTGGCGCTTTGCCTGCCTATCATTCGCCATACTTGTACTAGGTTAGGTAACTGTTTGAAGAGAGATCTCACCTTGAAGTTGATATTTAAGGAGCTTTCAGTTGCAACTAATTTAGGGGTATATTGGATTGAGACTTTTGAAGACTTTTTAAAGTGACGAATTCTGTGAATTTCGTGAACTTTCATAAATTTGTATAGAATTAATGAAAATCTTTCGTAGACGCGCAGAGATTTCTAAAAAGTTTTAATTGAATATATCATGACTTTTATTTTTAATTGAATAAGTTGTGACTTTTAAGTAAGTGTCAATTGAATACACATACTTTTAGAAAATATCAAAAAGTCTACATTAAGTACACTAAAACTTTTTAAATCCCAAAAAATCTTTAAAAGTCCTAAATGAATACACACTCCTTACTCTTTATAGGTAATCTTTATATAGTTGTGTAATTGACTGTCGCTAATACTACTAATGCGTTAAATCACTCAAAGAAAACCTGTTGGGAATGATACCAAGGACCGATGACTTTCTATTCAATGGGGACGTTGAAGACCGATGAGGTTAACCTTGTCCAATCACAGCCTACGGATACCCCTACCAAGTAGTGCTCTTTTTGATCTAATATTACTAGACGAAAAAGATTATAATACACATTGGATATTAATGAAATGTCTAGAGAATGTTTGGCTATACTTTTGAAGTCTTCCCCTCCCCTAAATAGGCTTAGAAATTTTATTCTTTGTTTGATTTTTAATAATATAAAAAAGTAGTGTATCTTTTATTGAGAAATAGTTAGAGGTGGCAAATGGATGATCGAGCCATTTATTGGCTTTTCTTGACTCAAACGATTGATGGCTACGACTCGTATTGAGAAGAGTCATGAACCAAACCAAGAACAATTTATCTTCATGAGCTAAGCAAGCTCGACTAATGGACACGAGCTTACGTGCTAGCTCATTTTGGACTCATGGGTTGTCTCATTTTTTACTCATAAGCTGGCTCGTGGGCTCATTGGTTTGACTCGGTTCATGAGTTCCACGACCAAATGACATAGCAGAGCTGAGCTTGAGTATTTAAGGATTGACTCGATCCAATGTCACCCCTAGAAATAAGTTGACTTGGAAAACATAATTGCTAGACTTTTATTTTTTAGTCTATGTTGTAGAATGTGTCCAATTGTTAAGTTCAACTTTTAGAATAATAATTTATAGCTATAATTATCTAGTTTAGGAGAGTAACTAGTGAGCTGGTGTGAGGATCCTAACCAAGACAATGGAAATGGCATGAAGGATGTCTTGTTCTAAGCCATGCCATGCTCGAAGGCGTACAAGATGTCTGGACAATGCACAGATTCGGGTGGGATGAAACAAGACGTGTGATTTGGAAATGTAACGTTATAGTTAACAGGGCATGATCATAGTGCATTTACTTGATGGTTGCATCATATGTTCGAACTTGGGATGCAAGTCAAATTTTGCATTGATTGATGGGTCGATGCAGGCAAGTGTTCGGCAGCATTGAGATATTGCTGTCCGATTGATTTTAGTTCACGAGGTCTTAACGGTACAAGAATGACACGTGACAACAATTACAAGGCAATTAAGTGCTGTACTTGAATTGGGGGCAGTTTCACCCCCACGTGGGGCTAAAAAACTACAAAACTGACCGTGGTAGTTTGGGGAGTAAATTACCTTAAATGAGTTGCACTTAATTTTAGGGAGGTGGATTATGAGAATTGATGAGGTAACAAAGTGTGTGTTGGTATTTCATAACTGCACATATTTCTTTGTTTTAGTGTTGATAAATAAAATTTAGACGGATCCCAAAGAATCGGTTTTTTAGTTACCTTAATTCAATCTTCTGCATCTTTAGTCAAAATCATGTATTTTCACAAACCGAAATTGCAAACTCATGTATTGGCTGGTTTACTTGTGACAAAACGAATCTACTATATATTCAATAACACATTTTCCAAAAAAAATTAATATTCAAAACATCATTTCCCTTAATTTTGCCTTTTAAGGACTATTAATTCACCTTCTTTTGTTGGAAAAAATGCCTTAGTTTGTCCCATATAGGAAAATGAACAAAGCAATGAACAATTTATACATGATTACACTTTGAAATGATGTAATTATGTGTAGTATAGAAGCTCTCTCCACGTGTTCACAAGGGGGTGCAAATTAAGGACCAAATCAGAACTTTGGACCCTATACTTGTGTGCGGACACGACCTTCGCACAGAATGTCGGACTGAACGGAACAAAAATTGAACATTTAGGAGTGTCCACATTTTGCTTTTATTTCCTATAAATTATTTAATTTTTTCTTCCAAAATGTCTCTTCAACCCTGAAAACTAAAATGTAATAGTGGGTTAATGGTGATGTTAATTGTATAATACCCATAAATGCTGGTTGTAAAGTCACTTATTATGGAGCCGTTATCACTCATGTTGAAGCATATGTATAGAGCTCTATTTTTCCATTGTCAGATGCCCACAAATTCCTTCTTTTCTCTACATAATATTTTCAGCATTCTGTCTACAAATATTTTCTCTTCTTGTCTAAGGCTTGGTCATGTTTGAATACTTAGTAGTTCGCTAGAGTAGTATCTGAAGTGTTTAAACTTTACTGATTTTCTGTTATATTCTTGGGAAATGGAAGCTTGTAGAAAACCTCAAGCACTTACGGTGAGGGGATGAATTTGTTTTAAAGAAATTATGTTTACACAGGCCTCAGTTTGCAGATCTTTCCTCTTTTGGCGATTAATATATTTCTTCGATTTTATTTACTGTTTTGTTCATACTTTTTATTTATAGTTCGTTTGGTTTTTTCAATATGCGATATATTACATTCGGATAATTAATATTCTAACAAGCTTAAAACATATTACTAAAAGAATAAGCAGGTTCATATATTGTTTATTTCAGAAACTAGTATTTGTTTGTTGTTTCAGAAATGGCAACCGAATTAACTAATATGGATGTGACCTAAACTGCAGCTACTAAAAACTAGATTGTGGCTCATGGGACAAGTTCTCATGGGACTCAAAATTGTGGCTAAATTGCTAAATCATGATGTGAGTCATATTGTGGCTCAAACGATTGGCCTTGTCGTGGCTGTTCTAGTTAATCATGGAGAAAAATCGAAGAAATTTGAATTTCAAAAGGTGGCATAAGAAAATGTTATTTTATCTAACCACCTTGAATCTTGCAAGGATATTGACTGGACTGCTTCGAACTCAATAAGGGTAAAGGAGATGTCCAAGCTGTTAGTTTACTTGATGCGTGGAAAATTTAGATTTCCTGTGCTGAAATTACATCACGAACAGTTTTGCTGATTTACTATATAATGTATATAGTACTATGAAAACAACTAAAATATTGTGAGAGTGTTAGGACCGAAAATATAAAACTAAGGATGCTGGGGCTAAAAAGTTTATTGTTCACATATTCTTAAATTATAAAATGATGGACTCAAAAATAATAATCAGTCAAGTACAAGAACTCCAAACGATTCTTCATGAGATTCATGCTAAAATGGATGAATTTGAGTGAAACTTTTCAATTGGTTGCAATTGTTGAAAAGTTGCCACTGGTGTAGAAAGATTTCAAAAATTACTTAAAACACAACGAGAGGAAATGAACATTGAAGAACTGATTGTTAGACTTCGAATCGAAGATGAAAATTGAAGTTAAAAAAAAAAAGAAAAGAAAAGAGGTTCAATCTTATTGTAGCTGAAGCCAATATTTTTTAGCATGATCAAAGTTCTAAGACCTACAAGAACAAGTCTGGGCCATCTGGTGGCAAATGGGCCAAGTTGGCTGCTTCAACTGTGACAAAGTACGTCATAAGTTTTCAAAGTGAAGATTATCAAAGAAGAAGAAAGAAGCAAATGTATTTGACTATATGACACATGATGTGTCAGAGATGAATCTCACAGCCGTCATTTTAAAGTGAATATGGTGGGGTTCAAACACAAAAGAGGGTTGACACCGGTGCTACAAGACATATGTGCTCTGATAAAAAATTTACTAAATTCGAAGCAATTGAGAATTGAGAGAAGTTCATGGAAAATTCCGCAACTTATAAAATCAAGGGTAAAGAGAAAGGTGATTTTGATGATGATTTCGGGGAAAGACCTGACTCTTAACAATGTGTTGTATGTGTCGAAAATCCGTAATACCCTAATGTCCTATTTGTTTCTGAATAAGCATGATTTTCGTATTGTATTTGAGTCAGACAAAGTTATTTTGTCTAAAAGTGGATTTTTTGTTGAAACAGGTTTTGTTTCCAATGGTATATTTAAACTTAATGTAATGGTTGTGAAGTCGAAAATTAATAAATTTAATTCTTCCACTTACTTGATTAAGTCTTCCAATTTGTGGCATGATCGACTAGGACATGTTAATCATGATACATTGCGTATATTAATTAACTTGAATTGCATACTTGCATTCCATATTGTTTCAAAACATANAAGGTGTTGAGAAGTGATAGAGGTGGTGAGTATGAAGCACCGTTCGGTGAATTATGTGCACAACACGGAATCATACTTGAAACCACTACACCTTATTCACCTAGCAAAATGGTGTTGCTAAATGAAAAAAATCGTACTAATAAGTGTATTTGGGACCTTAAATAATAACATTTTATAGTTCATTAGATGAAATATCGCCCAATTCGTTGTATATTGTGTTTAATAGGTAAAACTCAATGATTTGCTAAGGAAAAATAGAGAAACAAAATGGCAAAATTTAAACTATGGGGGCTAAATTACAACATTTTAATAGTAGAGTCGGGCCACATAATGAAGATCAAAGATGCTATAGGTTCAATTGGATGCAATTGAAAGAGAAAAGAACGAGATTACAAGTGAAAATGATTGAAATGCATTGCGGGAAAGTTCAGGGACTAAATTGCGAAAATTGAAACTTGAGAAATCCATGTGGACATAAGACTTCTCCCTTGTGCAGACGTACTCGACCCCAATACGTTAACATGTCCCCAAGCTGGCTCAACCATGTGGTCCCAAGGCACGT